CATTGCTACTCAATATACAACAAAGCAGTTATAGCTTTTGCTGTCGGAGCCTGGCAGATATAAAGATGTAAACTTTGAAAGATGATACTGGGTGTGGCAGGCAGTCAGAGAGTCGGATGGACTAATAAAAAAGCACATTAACGCAAACGAGGGAGAGAGTCTTCAGAGCTCTATCTCCTCTTTCCTGAGTTTAATAGTACCTGTGGGTCATCTGCCTGGTTTGAAATGTACTGGTTAAATGGTAGAATATAGTATAATATAACTGTATGCATGATGTAATCTAACTGGATCTATAAACTGAAGATCTGACTCATTAATCCTACTGGCTTGAAGACTATTGTTACTCCTATTTCTTTAAATACATAAATAGATATGACCACTGAGCTCATGTGTAATGTGTTGGGATGGGAAGATGCCAGAGGTTAATTGCTTTTTATTTTCATATAGGACTTTTGACAACATTTATTCATTAAATTCACCACACAAATGTTTAAAAAATGTCTAAAAATATATTTTAAATATACCAAACTGATTTTGCTGTAAAGTATTCAAACTTAACATACAAAAACTTAAAAATAATAAATAAAAATTGTGCAGGCGTGTCTGCGTGTGCAAATACACTTGTACTGACAGAGAACATGGTAGTAAGTGCTACAGCTGTAATGCAGTTTTTATTATACAAACACAGACGACTCTCTGTCTTCTCAGAGACAGATATCAGGAAGTATACATTGGTGTTGGAGTATAATCAAATAGTTAGAAAAGAGCAGTAAAACTACCTAACACAGATGATATCATGGCATTTTTCACTGAACTCTGATCATATTCCCCATATTCTTTGACCATCATTTTTGTCAGTTGTCAGTTAGCCTATTTGACATATTAGTTTTTATCTAGTTCGTCCTCAAGTGAACAAGTTAACCTTATTCACTTGACCTGACTATGTCCCTCTGTCCTTCCCTTTCTGTCCATCATGACCCCTTTGACGAGTGTCTTAGTAGGGGGTTTCCTGCCTCGTTGTCTCCGGGATCCTGGTTCTCAGGTAACCACCCACGAGGTGGTGGTAGCTGGGGAGGACGGACTGGTTCATCCCTTTCTCCTGTACACTCAGAGTCAGTAGGGTCTTCATTGACCCGATCTGAACTGCGCCTCCTGGATGCAGGAACTGGTCTCCAGCCTCTGAGGCTAGAACCTCCTAGACTTCTAGGGCCCCTCTCGTCCAAAACATCTACCCCAGGAGAGGTTGAGCGTGGGTGGGCGGAAGTGGCTGGCTGCTCTCCTGCACTTCCAGACTCCTTGATGGTGTTCAACCTCTTCATAGGCACTAGGGAGCGGGATGAGGAGTGCGGTGATGCACCAGAGAACTGGGGACCACTACCACCACCTAACATAACATTTGAGAAAAAGTTCCTTAAATTAATAAAAAAAAAAGACAAAAACAGCCAATAAAATCTGTACAAACTCACCATGACTTCGCCTTCTGAGGGCAAATGCAGTCTCCAGATCCCCTCCAGGTTGGAGGGAGTAGTATTTTTGAGACTTAGGGATGTTTTGTTCAGACTGGAAGAGGAGGAAGAGTGAAGGTCAGGTAGGCAGAGGTGAGGTTTAAAAAAAAAAAGGCAATGTATTTCTAATGTGTTCTAAAACAGAAACCCACCGGCTCGCGGAAACTTGAGGCACGGACGCTGCGTCTGATGCTTGCGTGGCGGCGAATCAGAATCTCTCTGGTTCGGCTGTCGTCGGGCAGATTGTATTTGTTGGTGTAAGCCATTGTCTGAACAACATTGAGATATATTTGGAGAAAGTGGAAGTGCACTGAATACAAACACTTTGACATATTAAGTTCATACTGCAGGTGGGATCACATCCCCTCTAAAAGGCATCTCAGCAGGTGTTGTACTTACCTTCTGTCTGATCTTGTACATGTTCTTTGACAGGATGTCGTGCATTTTCCTCACGTCAGCAGTCAGGAACTTCTTCTTCGGTCGAGATGTCTCCTTCCTCTCGTCACTGATAGGAGGTGAATGGACAGTGAAACAGAGAGAGATATTGCTGAAATGTAATGTTTTATTATTGCTATCGACATTATGATGGGTGGCAATTAAGGTTAGGATACCGGATTACATCTGATGGAGAAACAGCATCATCAGCTGGAACCAAATTAGATTAAGTTTCGTGCATTTAGCTGATGCACTTATGTAGTCTTGTGTAAAGACTTTGAGTGATACCTTGATTAGTACATCAATAATAAGCTGTTATAAGATAATAATAATAAGTCTAATTTTTGAGCAGGTGCTGAAGCTCTTTGGTTGCACTTTTTTTGTTTTTCCACTTTATAATAAGACATCAAGTCCTTTTCAAAGACCTTGACCTGACAAAGGACAAAACAGACCCTTCTGTAGAACTTACGGCAGAGAAACCATAGATGGCGCTGCGCTGAGGTCTCCCATAGGTGTGTCCAGTAACTCGATGGCATTCTGCAGCTCCAGTTTCTTATACAGAGACACAATACTGGACTCTGCCCTGTTGTCTCGGAGCAGGATACGCCTCAAAATACGGTCGTTAAACTTCTTAAACCTGAAGCAAAGACAAAGTAACACAGATCACTGGTAAATGAATGAATACATTTACCTTAATCGGCAAGAAGAGACACAAATCTTCTAAATCAATACACACATTTCTAAATCAATAAATTTTTTATTGGACTCCAAAAATAGACCCTACTTGTCTTTCCAGTAATAGTGGCTCCATTGTCCACACAAGTCCTCAATACCACAAACGACATGCTCCATCACCTGGAAGAAACACAAATGTAATTCACCAGCCACAGACAGAATAAAAACTAAGACTACGTAGAGGTGGGAAAGCAAAGCTGATACTTGCCCTGGTGTGAACCTCTACGTTGATGGTATGCAGGTCTTTGTTGGTCCTCCTAATGTTTATATATTCTACTATGGGACGGATGCTGATGCCCTGGAAAGATGGTAAATATTTGAAGATTTAAAAGGGTTCAG